ATCGTTTTTATTTCATTACTTCACAAAAAATCCATGGATGAACAAAGATGGAAAAATTATCAAAGTGGGGAAGCATACACTATTTAGCAGCATGGATAACTTTCGAAAATACATTTCAACCTATTATTGGCCATTGTTAAAGGTTTGTTTTTTTTAGCATAGTAATATTTTTCATCTTGATACAAATAAGCTTTTTCTGTGAAACTTGTCTTATGCAAATTTCATATGGAAATGAGACCGAAAAGTTAGAGGTCGTAAAAAAATGAATTCACTATAAATAGCACTCATGAGTCATGACTCATGGGCCACTTCCAATGCGGCCCATTTTTTGAAAAATATCTTAAGTATATTCAAAAAATGAAATGTAGATATTTGTAAATTTTACTTGCGAATTAAGAAATTTAAATGTTGAGGTGCCTTTTGGATTAAAGTCCAAAGGAACAAAATCATGAGGCTCTAAAATTAAGTCAAACTAGACAATACTTTAATAGTCGAGCTAGGGGCATAACATGCAAATACATATATCAATGTCCTAGAGTTCCACTTGCGTAATTTGAAACTCTAGGACTGTGACTATTTGTCAATATAATTATAAAAGCTAAAAAATGATTATTTCATAAAGTTGACCAATATATACGAGTTTATAGTTAATAATTAATTAATATTTATTATTTACAATGATACTAATAGTGCTTAATTAATTTCATATGTTTGTAGATAGTAGAGTTGGCAAATGTATTATCATGGCGTCGTTTTGACAAAACCTACAAGGATTTGAAAAGGAAGATTGATATGGCTATACGATTATCTGAACTATACAAACCTTACTTGCTTTTCCATGGAAGGTATGTCAATCTTCATTTTTTTTTTAAAAAAAAAATCCCAATTAATTTTTTCGTTTCAGTATATGTGACACACTTACTTTTATTTTTTAATTAGTTAAAAAGAAATGATACAATTTTTTACTTGGAAAAGATTAACTTTATTATTTGATCTGAATGAGAAACTATTATAACCACACAAATATTATGGTATATATTTAGTGTTCCATATATTTAAGGCGATAAATTTCAAAAAATTTATAGCAACGCAAATGAGATGCAATGCTTAAGACAAGGAGTGAAAAATCTTAAGGGAAACTTATGAAAATTCCACTATTTTAGGAGCTAATTACTTAGATACTATTTGGTTTGCAATATTACGGATCTTACCAGATTTTGATGCGTTCAGATACGTCCAGATACATGATGCCAAAATTAGGTGTAATTTGTTCTACATACACTGTATTCAAGTGGATTCACATGTATCTGGATACATAACAAATCTCACTTGCTTCCCTCTTATCCCGCTCGCCACTCTCCGTTTTGTATCTGATATCTCAGATACATGTGAATCACACCAGATACGTACATATAATGTATCTAGTGTGATTCACATGTATCCCAGGGATACATGACTATCTCACTCGCCCCCTCCCTATCACGCTCGCTTCTCCCTATTTAAGTATATCTAATAGCAAAAATTCATGTATCTAAATTTATCTTCCTCAATATATAACGATAAACTCTTAATCAATGGTACAATACACACCTATTTAAAAATATAAATAGAACTATAAAACATAGTATGAATATATATATCTAATAAGGTCTAAGTTGCTCAGATTCTCCAAAATTGTTGCCTCACCCGTGTCGGATCCTCCTAAAATGCATTACTTTTGAAGGATCCAACACTCACACGATGACATTTTTTAAGAGTCCGAGAATAAGGTAATTTCTCCAAAAACTAAATCATGAAAATATGATGAGGCCCAACATAACATGTAAGTTTGGGCTCATTAATAGCACATCCATTTATTAACTAAGTTTGTCTTAGCCTGCCAATTCAACCCATCTAAAAGTTGAGTTTATTTTATTTAAAATATATAGTCCAAATCAAACGATGAAAAATTGTCAAAATTTTGGTAACATTGATCAAGTTATCCTGTCACCCAATATTTAGCCCATCTTAACCTAATACATATTAGCCCAAGTGACATTTTAGCAGATCAAGACTTATTTATTTTTTATTAACTCAATCAATTTTAATTCGTTTAAACTCAACCTACTCACCCCTTTGACACTCTTATTTAAGTCATAAATTTCAAAAATTATACTTCTAATTTCTAAACTTATTTTTAATCAGCTTTGATGATGCTAATACTGAGAAATTGAGAATGGCAATGAAAGAACACAAGATGGATGATGTGCTCAACTTTGATCCAAGTTGCATTAATTGGGAAGATTATTTCATGAACACTCACCTACCTGGAGCTGTTAATCACATTTTCTGGGGATTATATATTTTAATTAATTGGTTAATTAATTCTTCTTCAGCATATTATATAAGAATGATATTTTGTTTGCAATAAAAAAATGTTCTAAAAAAGTATTGGTATGGTTTTCCTTTTTTTTTTTAATGTATAAAGATGAATTGTTCATCCTTCATGTAACTCAAGGAGGTTTGGACAAATATTCATTTTTTTCTCTTATTTGTATAGCCTTTCTAATTTGGTGATTAATACAAAGATTGGGCTTACACCCAACTCCATCAACATTATGGTTTAAGAAATTTTTATCATTAATAAATTATTTTCTCTATTCACTTTTACTTGTTCACTATTTTAAAAACATATTTTCGTGTCACTTTTAACATATTAAGAAAAAATAATTTTTTTCTTCATATTTTACGCTTAGCAGTAGTTATTTATTTCCCAAATTATTTTATAAGATATAATATTAAACATCAATTAATAGGAATAATATGATAAAATAGTCATATTAATCATTATTTTCTTAATAGGCGTACTAAAAATTAACGGAGTGAGTAATATAATTTGGTATGAATACTAAATGCAAATTTATTATTATTGTTTAAAAGTAAAAGTACTTCTATGAAATAGCTTTCCCATCCTATTCTGGTCCCTACCAATATATTTAATAGGAATTACATACTATAATTGAATGGGTTAACTGTGGATATAATAATATTACATTTTATTAGAATAATAGAAACAAATATTAAAAAGAATGACCATGATGACCATACAAAAAAGAGATATTAATTTCCCTCGTATCGAGAGCCATGTTCTTGAATATCAATGTAGGGAACCGCTGGGAGAGGAAGATCAATACAAAAAAAGAGATATTAATTAATCAAAGGTCCATTATTTTATTTTTTTACAAAGCTAAGGGGAGCTTAAGCTCGACCTATTGTTTCAATAGTTGCTTCACAAAAACTAAGGTTCTTTATAAAAACTATACAAATTTTGCACAAATTTACAAGTCCAGCGCTATAGACAAAATTTGCTATAACATCTCAACTGGATCAGTTCTATACAAAATAAGTCTTCCTCTGCTATGCCGGCTGAGGGATTTTATTTGTACGAGATCAAGTTTGTAAGGTTCAATGACTATCGATGGTTGGTGAGAATGTGCAAAAATAAATAACCCTTTATTTGTAATACTCCATTTTGCCAAGGCATTTGTAACTTGGTTGGCTTCTCCGTAACAATGTCTAACCTCACATGTAATAGTATTTGAAATATTTCGAATACGAGTAATGATATTCTTCATTGCCAGGGGATATTGTAACCCTACCATTTAGACCATTTACCTCTATGATCTCTACAAATGCCTCTAGTTCCAGCTCTTCCAATGGCATCCTTGTTTCCATCAGTATTAATTTTCAACAAATTTTTAGGGGCTTAAGCTATTTAACCACAATTCATTCAATTTTGGAAATAAGGTCAGTAATATGTTGATAGTTAGAAATAATTCTGCCAACTTAATAGAAATAAGACCTAATACAATTCCTTACTGAAGAAAGATGTGAAGAACCACTTATTTAAAATCTCAATTCAAAATTTGAATTATTTTTAGTAGTCATCTTTTTTATTTAAATAATTATATTAGTAGTTATCCTAAAATCCTTATTGGTTATGTATTTCTCCATATTAGTAACTTTTAGTTGAAACACTCACTAATTTTATATGAAAAAAGTAAATAAAAGCAATATGAAAACAAATTTGGCACATTTAGGATTTAGCCCAAGTCTATGTTAATTAATTAATTAATTATTGGATTACACATTGAGTATTATGAGCTAGCTAGAAAGAGAGCTTTAATTGGGCCAAACCTTTGGTACAATTGAACCCTACTTAATTATAGAGTTAACTTAAGAAATTAATATATGGACTATAACAATTGCTTGTCAACTTGTAAAAAAAATAAAAGGAGTTTGGCATATACAAAAAAGGAAAAATTACCTAAATACGCATCTTAATTATTTTACCTTTAAAGTTTCCTACCATTTAAAAATAAATTCAAAAATCCCCTCTTTGAATACATCACTCTCCTCTTCCTGATACATCCCTATCCCCCCACTCTCGGATACATCCCTCACCTATGTAATATCTGCTGATGTATTCGGAAGTACAGTGATGTATCCGGATGTTCTATCCCCTCTCTGATACATCCCTCCCTTCTCTCGAATACATCCTTCACCTATGTATCCGGATGTCTGCTGATGTATCCGAAGTTTATAGATTTTAAGAGATTTTTGTAATTTAATTTGAAAAAGAGTAGGAAAATAATGTAATTAGCTCTTAATATTATGAGATTTTGGTAAATTATACAAAAAAAAAAATCATAAATTGAGTCTTACGCTATCATTTTGCCATCTGTATATACTTATTTTATTGAATTATTAACTCCGATATCAATTGTGCAGTTCAACTTTTTTTTAAATACAATATGATACTATTCATTTTAGATCAAATCCCACGTGATTTTCTTCCTATATACATGTAGGCCTAGGGTGAATCTATAACATAGATTCCTTAAATTAGAAGCCTCCCCTAATCTTAAATTAGCTAGTATTAATCTTCTAGTTTGCCTATATAAAGATGAGTACATGGATTCATAATATCATATATCATTTTTAATATCATTATTCACAATTGTAGAATTTAGCTTCCCAATTTTTACTCTATTTTTTTCCTAACATTTTCTACACAATGAAATTATCTAAAATTGAACCATTTCTAGAAGGCAAGACTATTCTCATTACTGGAGCCACTGGATTCCTTGCAAAAAGTAAATACTCTCTCTCTTTCTATATATATATATATAAATAAATATATTCATTGATTTCATATATATCCCTTGTATTTTTTTTTAACGTAGTTTTAGTGGAGAAGATACTTAGAGTTCAACCGGACGTGAAAAAACTATTCCTTCTGCTAAGAGCTTCAGACATCAAATCAGCCCGAAAACGCTTCAGTGATGAGGTATTCACTACAACAAAAATAACTTTTAGCGAAAATAAATAGACACATTAATAAAGAGTGCTAAAGTATTTACCGGTATTAGTTAAGTGCCAATAGATCCAATGTCGCTAAAGGCTTTAGGGACATATACAAAGAGTGTTGATTGCTGCTAAAAATACATATTTAGTGGGAATTGAGCTATTGTCGTTAATTAATTGCTACTAAAAATCATTTTTTATGTAGTGATTAAACATGTTATTCTTTTTAATAAAATTAAAATAAATCACATATAAAAAAACAAATATTCTAAATTATCCAATCTTCTGAAGCATAAATGATTTGATGGGATTTAATTAAAAAAAAAATTGACTTGCCAATTTTATTCACAGATTTTGCAGGCTGAATTGTTTAATGTTCTAAGAGAAAAAATAGGTACAAATAACTTAAATTCTCTGGTAGAAGAAAAGGTATTTCCTATTGCTGGTGATATTTCAATTGAGGATTTTGGAATTGAAAACTCAGAGATGAAAGATGAGATGTTAAAAGAAATTGACATTATCATACACTCAGCTGCAACTACTAGATTTGATGAGAGGTATTCATATTATCATATTTAATTGGCAGAATATATCGACAATCCCTTATATATATGGACGATGTCAGTAAATTTCATTTAGATATTTGAATTAGGTTGTGTTTCGATTGAGCACTTCAACATATGAATAAGAAGACTTCCCGTTCTAATTTTGAAAAACAATTATGTGTGTTCTCAAACGTCTATTATGTAGTTAAATTATTACCTATATAAATCATGATACCTTCTTTAATTACACACATCAACCGCAATTGGAACATACATGAGGTTTTACATGTTATTGATTGGCTAATGTGTATAATTAAAAGGAGTGATATATTTGAACTGGTTATAACTTATCTACATAATGGACACTTGAGAACACGCGCAAATATTTTTGTGCAATTTGAGCCAGAAGTGTCTAATAGAAAAACTTTATCATGTGCTCAAATGCTTAATTAGAACAAAACATAGCTCGAATTTTTAAATGAAATTAACTGAGAAATTTAAGAGGTTATCGATATATTCCTTAATTTTAATGCAAGAAATTTTGACTTATTTCCCTATGTTTAGTTTCACTAGTATCTTTTTTTTTTTCCTTCTTTGTAGATATGATATTGCAATGAATATCAATGTGCTTGGTGCCTCCAATGTCCTCAAGTTTGCTAAAAGATGTGCAAATGTGAAAATTCTTGTTCATGTATCCACTGGTCAGTTATTTATATGATACTCATTTTGGAAGTATATTCTGCACCACTTTTTTAACACGAATATATCTGCTTTAAATTACAAAGTTAAAAGTATATTTCTCTCTTTTTTCCTACTAGCTAGGAGAATAAATAAATTGACTGTACAGTCAAATATTGAGATAATAGTCAAAAACACACATGAAGTATCACGTTTTTTGTGAGTTTCATACCTAATCTATCATGTGTTTGTGTTTCTGACCTGAACATCACTGAGTATTATTAAAAACACACTTCGAAACTGACTAGACCAATTGTTTAAATATATTCATCAAAAAAGTGCGTGACAACTTAATTTGCTTATAAAATTTCATCCTATGAAAACTGACTCATTAATTTTGAAGTGTGTTTTGATGAATAGTTAGTAATATAGTTCAAGTAGAAAACGTTATCACCTAATAGCTTAGATAGAAAATTCGCAAAAGCGTGATACTTCGAATATGTTTTCGACTATTATCTCAATATTTGACTGTAAATTCAATTTATTTATTGTATATTATATTTTGGTAAATCTTTATTACTAGCATAATTTTGAGACAATCAAATATGTCATCTTTTATGTATTGTTTGTCTCACAGCTTATGTTGGTGGGGAAGGGGAAGGTGTTATATCAGAAAAATCATTCAACTTTGGTGATTACTACATAGACATTGATGTGGAGAGGAAAGTGATAGAGGACAAACTTAAGGAACTTGAAGCTCAAAATTTGACATCAAAGGAAGTGACAATGGCCATGAGAAACCTAGGCATTAAAAGGTTAGTTGAATTTTTTTATCATAAAGACAGGGGCGGACTCAGGTTGAGCGAAGGGGTGTCAAGCCACGATACTTCTTGTACATGTCTAAGGGGTGGAGACTAGGGCTACGAGGGTGAAGGGTGAGAAGATGAGGTGTGTTGATCAGTATAGGGAAGACATCATTAATATGGAATACGTGAAACTTATTTTCCTATTTTTCACTTAGATAGTCATGTTCCTCCTTTTCAAGAAACTTATTTTTCAAATTTTAACCAACCAACGAAACATAAAAAAAGTTGAAAGATACTCGAGTAATATTTTCTTTCATACCAAACATACAATGTCATGACATGCTAAGGGTTTTCATGTTTCAAAATTCTTATTTCCCTTATACTTCATGTACAGTCAAACATGTTCCCATAAAATGAAACGAGGGAATATTTCTATAAAGAAGAATATTTTATTTTAAATTCGATGCCCAGTCAAACAAGTTCATACTTATATTACATCAACATGACTATTGATCATTTAGGGCAAGTTTACATGGATGGCCAAACACTTATTCCTTCACAAAAGCAATGGGAGAGATGATGTTAGGACACTTCAAAGAGAATCTACAACTTGTCATAATACGTCCAACGATTATCACTAGCACTTATAAAGAGCCATTTCCAGGATGGATTGAAGGCTTGAAGTAAGTTTGTAAAATTGATATACTTTTCTATCCCAATTTATGTGACAAGCTTCATATACTGAGAGTCAAACTTATTTACAGTCAAATTTGAACTTTTTGACTTTAGAAATTCAAACTATGCCACATAAATTGGGACAGAAAGAGCACTTTTTTAGCTTGTTAATTAGCATCTTTTCACTATCATCAGTAATTCAACTCTTATATTTGTATATATTATAACTAATTTGCAATTGCAGAACATTGGATACCTTTATGTTGATATATGGTAAAGGTATATCAAATGTCTTCCTTGGTGACCCAAACACAAATGCTGACCTGGTATGTCCTTTCTATACTTGTTCAAAAAAATTTAATACGATAAAGTAATTTTCGTGTGATCTATATGTCATGCGTTTGAGCCGTGTAAGCAGTCACTAGTCACTGATACTTACATATTTTGTGACAATCGTCATGAAATTGTAATGACTTATAGATTCCAGGTGACATGGTAGTAAACTCAATCCTTGCAACAATTGTAGCACATGGAAATAATAAATCACATCAAAATCACTTCATATATAACATCAGTTCATCTAAAGGAAATCCCTTGAAACTTGATGATATGAAACTTTACACATTTCATTACTTCACCAAAAATCCATGGATTGACAAAGATGGAAACATCATCAAAGTGAAGGAGATCACAATTTTTAGTAGCATGGACAGCTTTAAAGCACACATTTCAAGATATTATTGGCCCTTGTTAAAGGTACGTATCATTCTACTTTTATCGGATGTCCCTGAAGAAAGATCTCTCATTAAAGGTTTCTTTTCAATATAACGGTTTTAATTTTCTCTTTATAACCATATGATAACTATTCTTGCTCACCTCTCTCCCATCTCGCTCGCTATTCTCTTATTTTGCTTGCGTATCTGATCATCCCAGATTCATGCGAATCACACCAGATACATCTAGTATGCATGTAACTAGTGTGATTCACATGTATCTAGGATACATAAACAAATTTCACTCGCCCCCTCCTGTTCTCGCTCGCCTCCCTAGATCCTATTTCAATGTATCTGGTAGCAAATATATTCATCTAGGTGTATCTGACTTGAAATATGATATGAAATTATTAATTATTGAGATAAAATTTAATCATCTCAAACTATAAGGAGAATTAGTAAATATGGTAGAAATATTTATATAATTAGGTAGTTTCTCCTTATTTAATGATAATAAAATTACACTTTCACAATAACACTACTTTTTTTTTTTTGGTAACAATAACACTTATAACTTGTTCTCTCATATGTTTTAGGTACTACAATTGGCAAATGTATTGACATGGTATTATCTTATTGATGGAACGTACACAAATTTGAAAAGGAAGATTGATAAGGCCATACGTCTATCTGAACTCTACAAACCTTACTTGATTTTTCATGGAAGGTATGTGCACATTATGATTTTTAAGAGTTAAGTTATACGTATCGCCTATCGTCATCAGTGTAAATAATTTTTTAAATCACACTATCAGATGTCTACATGATAGCCAGCCTCCTTAAAATGTAGGATTGGAATCTTGAAAATAAGAATAAAGACATGTGTGATGATTAAAAATTATGTATATTGTCAGTGCATATATTTACTTAAGTACTTATATCAATCGTCGTTGTAAAAGATACTTTACACTATCAAATCATCTAGAAGTTATAAGCCTCTTTCATTTAACATTTTGTGATCTGTAATCTTGAAAATAAGAAAATCAGAATACGTACTACAACATGCTAATTAGTTGATCTGCTAGTGTAAAAGTTTCTTACACTGACGATATATATTTTTTATACTTTATTCAGCTTTGATGATTCCAACACTGAAAGGTTGAGAATGGCAATGAAAGAGTACACGATGGATGATGTGCTCAATTTTGATCCAAGTTGCATCAATTGGGAGGATTACTTCATGAATATTCACATCCCTGGGGTTGTGAAGCGATTAGCCTAACGATCATATTTTTAAGTTGTTAAAGACATAATTACGTAAATTAAACTATATTTTTATAATAATTTTAACTAGTTTTGAGATCATGAAATAATTACGTGCTTTATTATAAGCTTCTTGTGTATTAGTTATTCGATCTACAATAAAATAGTTTCAATGAATTTCGTCACTAATTTATCTTTAAATAGCATGTTGCTAACATGACAATTCGTCGTTAAATA